ATCCCCCCCCCCCCATCGTTCCAGAGCTGCAGGCCTAGAGGCATGATACCACCCATGTATTGATCGCAGCATGAGCAACACGACACGACACCTTGCCGTTGAGGCACAACGCTAAGCCGATATTCGTGTTGTACATTACCACGTGGTACACTACTGATGTTGATCTTTCCTTTCGGGACGCAGGCGTTAATTGCAGTGAGAGGTCGGCTGCAGAGGAAATTCGCCGACGAGAAGAAGACCATGGACCAACGCGCCGAAGCGGCACCGATTTCTGCCGCGGTAGCTGCTCCTACCGTGGCTTCTCCATTGTCCGCGGGATCAGGTAGTGCTGTGGTACTTTTTTGTACTTGGTACGTTTCTTTGGTGGGTGTGATGAGCCTAGCCTACACTAGGAAAGTTACAAAACTTGAACGTGTTGCAACATTCTGCAGCCGTAAAGAGCGGTGCCGCGTTTCCTTTCTCCATGTTTATGGTCCTGAAGTCTCTTTTACTCGAGAACACAGCTGTCACGCACGCCTTCAGAGGTACAGCCGCGTGGATCTCTTGCTTGGTTGGCCGACTGCGTGTGCACATGCATTGCTCGGTGGGTCCTCGTCGAAGTATTTGTGCACGCGTGGCTAATACGATGATGAACCTTTCGCCTGCACTTGCGCACGTCATTTGCATCCAATACCAATACCACACCGGAAAATATTCACCGCTGATGCCACAAACGACAGTGGCCGACGCATTCGATCGCCACGGTTGTCCTGCGACTATTGTAATCAACTCCCAGGCGGCGAGAACGATTCGACCAAGCAAAGCAAGGAGAGAAAAAAGAGAAGGAAGAAGGCGGGAGGGCAACGAGGGCAAGGGGAGGACCGCAAGACCGGCAAAATGAAAAGAGAGATGGTACGATGCGAAGCGCAGCAGGATGACAGCAAGAGTGTTGAACCATGCGAAAACAACGGCAAGGAGAAAAAACGCCGAAAAATGAAACGAGAAAAGGAGGGGGAGAGGGAGCCATCTCCCAGGGTTGACGGAAGCAGCGAAAAGAAGCACAAGAAGAAAAAAAAGAAGAGCGTGAAGCGAAAATAGGACGAATTGCAAGATTAGTGTCGAGGCAGCAGGGCCAGGAGAAGGATCTCGTCGGGTGAGTCCTCAGTCCTTCGTGCATGTCTAGAAAATATGCATACAAGGCCACAAGAGACTGTCCGTTCGAGGCGTGACCGCAGTGCAGTTAGTGGGAGAATACGGCTGGATACTGGGCTTATTTTGAGTCTATTTTTGAGGTGTTTCAACGTCAATGGCGGCGCATAGCAGTAGCTGCCGCCACCCGCTGGTTGTGTTTTCGACTAAATCGCTGGCGGTCGAGCTGTCTGCTTCCTTCTCTTGTCGATCTCGCCCTTCCTATGCTGGCGTTATGGTCGCCATACATTACCCTCGTTTTGAGTTGTGGCAGTGGTTTCCTTGAAGCTGATGTTTAGCATACCACTTCAACACTTGCGTAGGTCGCGTAGAGTAGATCGATCGACTTCCCTCGTCTGTTTGTCGAGGGCTCGCTGTCTTCCCTGTGTTGTTAGATAGCTTGTCAACTGCGTTTATTCTACCTTGGCTGGTCATACACCTTTTTTTGCAAGAGGGGCCTGGTCGCTGTCTCATGGTCTTGTGTGTATTTGTAAAGTCTGTTGGCCGGCGTTAGCGAGTCGCACGTTGCACCCCAAGTACCAGAGCACGCTACACCCAACGCGGTGGGGAGGTGCTACAACTGTAGAGGGTCGCGACGGGACGGAGTCATCCTGCTACAGTAATTTATTGTACCCCATCTTGGATTAGGGCTAGTGTTTATGAAGGTAGAATCATCTCCTTTTGTTTTTCTTTTGTGTGAGCCGTCATTGGGAACCCTATAAGAAGCAGCGAGCGAGACTCGGGTAAACAAAGAAGATACATATGCCGAGTCTTTGTGGAGGTCGGGCGTGCTGCCCGGACACCTTGTGAAGTGCTGAAATGAACGAATGTATTTTTGAAGGTGCCCGCCGGCGCAGCGCTGCCATCCCATCCCATTCGCAAATCACGACCCCATTTTTTGCTTTTATCCCAGGGGCATGTCCCATTTCGTCGCCTCCCTTGAATATTTCCCATCCTTTTCTCCGATTATGCGCTAAGAACGCCCGAAGACAGACACAAACCCAGCCTTTGACACTGCAGCACTGCCGCATTAACAGTAAGTGTTGCTGCGCTGCTGCTAAGATAACGAGGAACGGCCCAGCAGATACGCAATCACATGAACTTTATGAAACCACGCTTTTCGCGTGCACGTGGAAAGGGAAAAACGCCTCTCCCCGATACACTTTCGCCCTGTTAGCGCAAGGGCAAAATCGACACACCGTCAACCTTTCGCAAAAACACGAAATCAGGTTCACTTCCACCGACCACGCCATTCCCCGTGAAAAGTGAGCCCGACTCACTTCGTTGACTGCCGCCGGGGCAAGTGCCTCCTTTTGTTCGCACGGCCCCACCCACGGCATGGCGTTCCCCGAGACGCCATCAAGACCAGACAGAAACCAAGCCAGGAAGAGCGCCGTGACTGACATACGACGGCTGGGTCAACCGGCAAAAAAACGCCACACCCGTTACACCCTACCCGACGCGCGATGAACACCAATACCGATCAGCTCGGCAGGTGTGTGACTTGCTGTCCAAATCCAAATACTAACCAAAACATCGTGACTCCACCCAACCGAGCGACCTACTGCAGCACGTATTAAAAGAATACACCATTCATCGAACACGACGTCAACTACGCCAAAACAAGATAATCAAGTGAGATTTTTTCCCTCCGCCTCCACCCTCCACCCAGTGTCCTCCGACCAAACGAGCAGGAGGGCCAGTTGTACTCGTATACCTGAACCAAGTCAAAAGAGATATACTAAAAACATGCACCTCGGGCTGCGCGTTCGGATACGTAGGATTTGGTCCCCGCCCCCGCCGTGCCGCCCTAAGCACCACTCGCCACGCTACACATGCACCAAAAACGAGTGGAAAACTGAAAAACTAATGCGACCTGGCCCGCGTGCACCCGAGTCTGCAAATTCTGAAAAAAAAAAAGAGCCGACAACGTAGAAAAATATGTACGAAGTCAAAAATACACAATGAAATAGGCCGCCTTTGCTGTGGTTAGCACGGGATGCACTGCACTGCAGACGGGACAAACAGCAAAAGAAAAATACGCAGGCGGGACGAAAAAAGCCGCGTCCGGGAGGAACGGGGGTGAGTGGGAATAACGCCACCACCTCAGCACAACGCCGGAAGTCCGTGCGTGCGCTGTGTGGACACTTCCGTCGGTCGGCACACGTGGCTCATTGGATTCTGGCGAAGGAGGCAATCAGACCGCGAATCAAACAAAGTCACTACGGCGTTTGTGAACCAGCAGTAGCAGCAACAACAGCATACCGTCTCCCTCCTTCGCAACACGAGCCAAAATAGTCTAAACACCGCCACCATGCGACACGCGATTCACGACACACGACAAACAGGAGGGTGTGATCTATCGTGGAAGATTGTCCTTGTACGACACGCTAAACGCGTGACGATGCCGTCTAAACACTACACACCTTTGAAGCACACCACAAAGACCGCCACATGTAGGCTGCACGACAGACTGTACGACAGTACGACAGGACAAAAACCGGCAGGGCAGCAGCAGCAGCTAGCAGCAGAAGTAGTAGCAGCAGCAGCAGCAGCAGCAACAGCAGCAGCAGCAGCAGCAGCAGCAGCAGCAGCAGCAGCAGCAAAGCGAGGTACACCACATGAACGAACAGCGAACAGAGCCGGCGCAGGGGGGCGCACGCGCTCGCAAGGAACAACAAGCAGGTAGGCTGCAGCACGTTGATCAACTCATCAATCAAATCATCAATCAAATCACGGCCACCGACACAGCGGGCATGGCAGAAAAGAAAAAGAAGCCAGACATGACAAGACAGGACGACAAGACTTGAGACATGGCACGGCCAGACCAGACGTAAAATCACGGTAGGAAGCACACAATACAAGTACCTAAAGTACAAGGACGGCGTAGCGAAAGCCGGCAAGAACTACCACAATCGCCCGTCACCATCGCCACCATCATCGGCGTTCGGTACAGCACGGCACGGCAGATATCTTACAATTGAGTAGTAATGCGTCGGTGATCCAGTTTACAGAAAAGAGCAGAAAATCACCTTTGCTAGATAGATATACATATTGCCTTCCTCACCCCCGTCCCCCTCTTTAACACAGCACCATCGCCAAGCCTACGCCGTGTTCGCATCATGACCCACCCATCAGCGTCCTTCCATCCTCAATCAAAGCCTGATGTAGGATCCATCCGCCCTTCCGACCGTTTTTTGACAACACTTAGACCGCCAAACCAACGCAGGTCTCCCTGCGTCTCACTGCACCATATATACGTCACGCTTGACTGAATGTTGTGTTGTATGGTATGTGCAATGCGGTAGGGTCATCAAGAACGACCATCCACCGCCCCACGAGGCAAAAAAAAAACTAAAAAACAAAACGACGCGCTGGCAAGAGCAGGACAAACAAGTGGTTGGCTACAAGACGTGCCAAACGGTCATGGGTGGGGCGGATGCGGCCAACTAAGAGACGCTCTCTCCAACTGCCATCTTCTTCTTCCTTACCCTTCCCTTCCCTGCGCCTGTTCGTCCGTCCATCCGTCCGTCCGTCCATCCATCCGCCCAATCGCACGGCAAGAGATATCTCGGCAAAAAGCTGCACGCCCGTAACTTTTCCTTCCGCTCTTCCGCTCTTGCGCTCGCTCTTGCCGCTTTTCACTACATCTTTCCCCATCCTACCACATCTACGATATGTGCATGCCATAAAGCCGCGGTTTCTCATCCCCTTGTTGCCCCTTCCCGTCCCGACCTGTCAACACTTCGAACTAAAAAAAATAAACCAGAAATAAACGCTCCCATCTCTAGCAGACTAAAGACTAAAATAGAAAAGCCCGACAGGCGAGGCGGGTGATGTAAAGGACGTTCGCGCAAAACGAAAAAATGGGCCCCGCGCAAAAAACCAACATCAAACAGCTAAAATGTGTATGTACCGTTCTCAACACCAAGCAGTTGTACCTCTTGTGGTACACCCCCCCCCCCCCCCCCCCCCCCCCCCCCCCCCCCCCCCCCCCC